TGACCTTAATTTAACATTGAAGCATATACTGGATAATCTTTAATCTCAGACAAGGATCTAAATGTTTATTCTGCATTTTAGAAACGTCTGCAGTGCATTTCATTATTGATGACAGAAACAAATACACAGAGGTCCACTTTATGGTCAAAGATGTAGACAAGAGGAAATACGCAATTGGAAACGATGGTAACTTAGTTGAAAAGAAAGAGCTCCAAAGCGAAGAAAGTGCACCCACAGGAAGCCCAATCGAATAAACTGATTTTCCTCTTCCATTTGTACCAGATGTAAGCCAACCATATTCTCTTTAGCCTAACATTTCAATTGTAACATCGGTATGCACAGCATTTTAAGCTTCACTCATTGCTATCGCTACCGCATATACGGTTTACTTCTACTTAGTCAATGCAATTTATACCAAAGGCAACCGAGGGTGAAACCCTGCAGAACCGCAAACCTGCGCAACCCGTAGACGTCAAAAACCCATGCACGGGTTCCAAAAACGCGCCCGCAGATGCGAAAGCAAACTGCTTTGTAGTTTCAAAACGTAAATTAAGCTGTGCAGTTTCTGCATTTTGCCTTCCCTGTGCTAAGTTTCCTGCATGCAATCCGCAACAGATTATTCATTTTAATTTGATCTGATTTTTTATTATTTTACTTTCTAGTTCTGTTTCCCGTCACCGTGAAGGCCAAGATGGAATCAACTGATCGGATCCTTACGTTGAAAGGTGAAGGTAACAAAGAACTAACAGTCACCTTCAAGCCCTAGAGCAGTGGAGGCAGCTAAGGCAGCACAGGCGGCTCAGGCGGCTCAGGCGGCTCAGACAGCTCAACTACTTTTGCAGCGGCATGGCTTACACATTCCGCAGCCCTTTTTTCGGCCAAAATGGCCTTGGTGTACCTCCTGCCTTAGAGGCCGACCAGTACACGCCACCAATTCGGGTGCCTGACAGTGTAGTGCTAGATGCGCTTGCTGTACTGCTAGATGTGCTTTATGTATTGCTTGGTGTGCTTAATGTAGTGCTAGATGTGCTTCATGTAGTGCTAGATGTTAGTTAAATATAATTCGCTGTAGTTGCGAATATTTTAATTTTTTTTCAGCCATCCTCGCGCACACTTTCGGTGGGTTTTCTGCCAGGAGGATATACTTGCTCGAAGAGGGGGGCAGCGCCTTTATCAGCGTGGCTCGAATAACTTTCTCATACTGATGGCGGGTATTCGCA